AATACGTGATTCAGGAATATCCGAAGATAAAACATGAGCTGGCAGCACTTGGTAAAGAAGTGGAAATAAAAAACTATCACAGAAATGAAGCCAACCCAAAGAATGACTGATACTTCTAAAGATGCTGTGAAAGACAGAGATGAACCGGATTGATCAAAGCAAAGAGAATAAAATGGAAATGAAGAAAACATTTTTTAAAGTCTGAGAAAATTTAAAATATAGACAGCAGGTAAAAGAGAGCCAACATAAATAAATATCAGTATATATTATACATATTTAAAGAAATAATTATGAAAACTTTGCATAAATGAATTAGGCCTCGAATCTACATATTAAACGGTCACACCAGGTTCCACCAAAAAAAACAAATGACAAAGAACAAATTACACTTAGATATATCCTATTCAAATCGAAAGAAGAAATCTGGGAATTCAACAAAAACATCAAATCAATTATGAATGAAAAATATGAGGGTGGCCTCAGATTTCTACAAAATAACATTCAATGCTAAAAGATAGTCAGGAGGAGGGTACAGCTCAGTGGTAGTGTGTGCTTAGCTTACACTAGGTCCTGGGTTCAGTCCCCAGTACCTCCATTAAATAAATTAATTAATTAACAAGCCTAATTACATCCTTTCTTAAAAAAATTTTTAAATAAAATTAAAAAATAAAAAAGATAGTGGAGCAATGAAAGAAAAAAAAGTGTGACCCATTACAAAACTGTCATTCACGATCAAAAACCTCAGACCATATAGTTTCCAGGAATTTTGAGGGGGTTTTTATTCCTTTTGAAGAAGCAACTAAAAATGAAAAAAAAAACTAGCTAACAAAAAGACATTGAATGAAAATTGGACAAGATAGTACTTATTTAATGAATTTATCTGACATATTAAGATTAAAACACATGTGGGGATTATGGCCACACCAAAAAAATGGAAATGGTACAAACACTGACAACACAGAAACAATGTAACTTACAAAGTTGATAGGGAAACAGTGTTACTGCAGATGTTGAATTCCTTAACTTTCATGGCTGAGAGTCAAAATCGATCATTCATATCTGAAAAATAATAGAGGTATATACACTAGTTAAAGGCATAAACACTAAGAGAAAGAATGTAAGGAAATACACTGAGAAGCACAGAAATGGGAGGAGATAGTGGAAAATGGAAATATATTACACATTTTTGCAACAGCCTGAAATATCACAAAGAAAATAAAAAAGCAAATAACAAATTGGGAATAAATGTTTGCAACATATATCATAGATCCCTAACAAATAAAGAGCTTCTAAAAATTTGAGAAAAACATCATCAACCCAAGATTAAATTATATTCCATAAAAATTATAAGAAAGAAAAGGGATAGATGTAGCAAGAATACTGGTAAGTTTTAAATCTGGAGATGGGACTATGGGGATTCATTATACAATTCTTCCTATTTGTGAACATGTTAAAAATTTAATTGTGTACATTCAAATGAGCAGTTCTAAAAGTCCTGTATGGCAGTGCAATTATCTGTGTCTGGAGAAGAGATAAATCAGAAATATCCCAATTACTTCAGTTGCCACTGAAATTTTTAATTCCCTTTGCTTTCTTTTACTGGTATTATTTGTTTCAAAAGTAACAATTTTAAATGAGGCACATAGACAGTCTTGAGGCAGTTTTTTTAATCTCGAGCTGAATGGCTGACTCTGAACTGACTGGTCAATTAACCTGATTAGATAGGGACTTTGGCTAAAAATAGAATTCTATTATTGCAATTCTGCTCATGAAATCATTTGTCCTTTAGGGCAGGGGAGGAGAAGGTATGCAAATGTTTTGGCTATTATCATAAGAAAAATTGATTTGTTATTGATCCTCGCTCAGATAGCAGGACGCACACAAATGTTGCTCCCCAGCTATTCTGAAATCCACTTTGCAGCATCTCATAGCCTCCCCCAACTCATCCAAGGGAGGGCTTCCGCTCCATTAACAAATCTTGCCATGCTGTTCATAATTACTTCAAGCAAGCTATTACCCATCACAGGCTAATTGTATTGTTTTTTTTCAAGGCTGTGGACAATAGAATATTTGAAGATAAAAGAACAAATCCTAACAGAGGCATTTCAGACAGGAGGGGAAAAAAATGCAAGGGGGATGATAAGAAGTAGGAAGTAGGGGGCTACGAGCACTGTTGAAGGACACCAAACAGGTCACAGTTCATTGTATCTACCTTTAGAACTAAGTGGACATAAGACTGAAGGGAATATACTTGTACTACTCAGTAATGCAAACTACCAGACACTTTTAATGCTACTAGCAAAATCCGTATTTCAAAGCAAATAATATATATACTTCATACAATTATCCTACTCTAATCATCCATCAAGGAAAACATTCTCAGGACCTTGAATTGATACCCCTTTATTAGCTTTAATTGCTTTAAGAACGTAAAAATTTTTTAAAGTTCATTTGGTAAAAAATAAACATTCCACTAATTCCAACAAGACATCTCCCTCTAGACTGCCTGCTTCCAAATCGCTGAGGTTTTCACTGTGTTAATAGCAGAAAATAACCAAACACAATGTACCTAATGGACCTCTGGCTTCATATACCATCCTGCAAAACACAGCAACAGAATTCACGGATGGCAGTGCTTACATATTCAAATGATTAGAGAAATCCAAATATACATTGGTTGATTTAATATGATTACATGATTATGTCCTTCAATATGATTAATTTCATTTCATTAATAGCATAATTGCAGTGACCCTTTCAAGTCTACTATGATGGGAATTCAGGAGTCTGAAGTTTATATTTGCTATTTCAGCATTTTCACCTACTTTTAGTAGTTTCCATCTGAGCGGTGCTTTTATCTTCAGATAGGTTTATTTATTTCTCCATTCTTTTGTGCCATGCCCTTATGCCACTATCACAACATCACGAGTTCCTCCCTTGGTGGTAAAGCCCTTGCCAATATCTGGGCTTTTATTGCAGAATCTGTCCCTCCCGCCCAGGTAGCCAGATTCTTACACTGTCCTTCTCTGCAGCTCACAGAATAACCTGCTCTTCCCTGATACATGAAGGACATTACCCTCCCCCCCGCCGCCACACACAGGGCAGATTCACGCACACGCATACAAGGCCAGGACAAGCGCATTTCCGACTTCAGAAGCTCCTTGGCCTAGTTGCTGTCATGAGCGCTATTGAGATGCTGCACTGACGTGGCATCCTTACTGACCAGGGTCCCTTCCTCATAGAGCACATGTTCACTTGGTTTGTTGGGGGAGGGGGGTAATCTCATCTACTCATGCCTTCAACTGCCACCCTGGAATGGGCCACTCCCAAACCTAATCACAGTCTAGATTCTCTTTCTGGACCTTACCCGTAGCTAGATATCATCCCAATTCTGGCCCAAGGCACCATAAAAGCAACAAACTGGAACCACCTTTCTTTGACCATCATCTCTCTTAACTCCTGTCTACCCAGACCACTGATAATTTTGAATGATTGACTGTTAGTCTCTCTGGGTCCTTTACCTTGCATTCAGCTCTTTCCCACCACTTGCCCACATCCACCCTCGATTTGGGCCTCAACGTCCTTTGCTAGGTCATATCTACTCCTGCCCCCACCCTCCAGAAACCACTTTCCTAGGCCCAAAAAATGACTCCTGCTCTGGACTTTGCCTGCTCACCAGGTAAATCGGTTTTCTGATTTCACGTCAGATCCCAAAGAGGAAACGAGGTCTTGTCATGCTCACTTCCACTCTCTCTGAGCCTGCTTATTTCCTGTTCACTCCTGACATTTTCCCACTAAATCCAAGCTCATAGCAAGAGATCTGTTTTTGGAATGATACTTTGGTTCCCAGGCCTGGGAGTAACAGCCCGTGTTTACTGAATGCTCACCATATAGTAGGAACCATTCTAAATATCTCATGAGTGTGATCTCACTGAATCTATACCTTGAGGTAACCAGTATGATGACCAGTATGTCACTGAACTCACACTGTGAGGTTTACCAGTACACATGAAAGAATATCCAGACTCAAAAGGTCTTAAACAATAAGGAAATTTATTACCTAAATTAGAGGTCCTAAGGTACGGTTGGCCCCAGGCATGAACAATGAAGACATCTGGGCAGATATAGATAAGAATGAGAACACTGAAGCCTCAACTCCTCCTGACAGTTCCTGTCTGGTAGAGGCAGCCTGCACAAACTCCCCAGCCAAGATTCCCAGATTTAACATTTCAGTAACTAAAGTCATCTGGGATAATTGCCTCACAAAGGTATGCAGATTCTCCTCAGCAACCTCTGAGCCCTCCAGGCCCACAGAGATCTCTGCACAGCCCAGATGGCAGCACAAGGTCTGGTTCAGGAGACAGCCAGCTATCTTGTCAATTTCTGTAAGCAGGAATCTGGGGCACATGGATTGGTGGGATTCTAATGGTGTCTGCCCAAGGAGGATGAAATGTTAAAACCAGGCTCTATTTATTATGGGCGTATTTACTCAGGATCTAGGATTTGTTTGCTCAAGCACCTGAAAGGGGAATTAAAACAACATGATATGCTGTTAATTGAAGACTGAACTCAACAGAACTCCACAGGCTATAAGTTGAAGGGGCAGAACTTCCCTGGAAGTGTGGAAGAAGGAACCCAAAGGCTCAGACAGACAGGAATATTGTATGTGTCCTGATTTATGCCTGTTGACCCAGTCCAATTATTAATAGTGCCCCTTTCACTCTCAAAAGTCTCCCAGCTTGGGATGGCGGGCCACCTGCTCAGCCACCCCTTGCCCACACCACTTTGGAGGCCCCAGAGGACACTCCCCACACCAGGGCTTTAAGCAATGCCTTGCTGAGGGGAGTACCAGATTCCCGGTAAAACCCTGCAGTAGCTGTCCTCCGTAGCCCAGACAAGACAGTGGGGAACACTGGGATTGAACCAGGTTCCCTGATCTCAGTGGGAATCAGCGCGAGAGTGGCAGAGGCCAAGGACAGCACTTAACCATTCAAAGACACTTTTTTTTGTAGTGCTTGATATTTATTGAAAAGAACGCAAATGCTTTTTTCCAGGTAGTATTGACGAGCTACGCTGAGTACCTGCTTTTGTTTGTTGTTTTGTTTTTAGTATTTGTGTCCAAATGCACACATCTGTGGGACTGCTTCAGTTCTGAAAGAAAATTGACAGCTGTGCAAAACTAGTGCATGGGAGAAAAGAAACGGCAACAATTTGGCTGCCAGGCACACCAGGGCCCTGCAGCAATCTAGTGGGGCAGGAGAGGGCTTCTGGGAGTAAGGGAACTAACCAGGTTGAAAGATTAGCCCCTTCGAGGGGGGTTGGTGAGCAGTTCAATCAATGTCCAGGAGGCGTAGCCGACTAAGGCATCTTCTAGGTTGGTCCTTATCTCCAAAGGCTTGCTTGGTCTGTCGCTGGAACGTGATGGAGGGTGGTCAGGTGGCAGCGTAGGTCTCTGGGCAGAAGTAGGCCTGACAGGCGGCAGGGCTGTGCGTAGTCGGACCAGTTTCTAACGGGGCCCCATAACTGGGGCTCAGGACACAGTTCGAATGAGCAGGGGAGAGTCCCGGGGCTGGCCAGAGTCGGAGGCGGCGCACTTCAGAGAGCGGCCCCAGCCCCAGCAGCAGGTAACTGGAGCACTATTCCCGGAACAAAGACAAGCACTACGGGGGAGATGAGGGAGAGAACCGGCGGGACCGGTAAGGAAGACGATCCGGGGGCGAGGGGAGCGCAGCGGCTCCGGGCTGGGCGAGGCGAGGCAGGACTGGGGGTGGGGGGAGGGTGGCGAGGAGGAGAGGGGCGGCGTGCAGGGCCCTCCCCCCTAGGCCCGAGGGTCTCCAGGCCTAGTAATCGTCTTCTTCATCTTCGTCGTCGTCGTCGTCGTCGTCGTCATCCCAGCCAAAACACTGTTTCATCTCATCAAGGAAGGCCCGGTAGTCACCTAGGATGGGGCTATCCATCTCAATGTAGGGCACCACCCACTCCTCGGCTTCCCCGGTGAGCAGGCTGATTAGGAATGCCACCTTCATGGCGTCGTTGCAGAATCGGTTCTCGTTGACGAGCATGTAAGAAGCCGTCTGCACGATAAACTCGGGGAGCCGGGAGCTCTCGCCGTTAAAGGTTTCGGGGAAGGGCACCGGGCAGCTCGGCGGACGTACCTGGCGCAGTAGGGTGGCCCTCTCGCACACCAGCAGCCGCAGCTGTTCCATGAGCTGGCTGTTCTCGATGCTCAAGGCTCGGTGCCGCATCAGGAGAGCGTGCAGCAGCAGCACCAGCTCGTCCACCATGGCGAACAGCTTGCAAGGGCAGGGCTGGGCTCAGCTGGGTCCGGCTCGGCTGAGGTGCGCACGGAGGCCCCGCAGGAAGTGCGTGACGGCGGCGGAGGCGCGCGGTGGCTAAGGTTCAGAGGCGGTGCGCGTAGGGGTCCCGGCGGCTGCGCAAGCCCCGCCCACACAACCCGCTCTGACGGCCGGCGTGCCGGCGCGGCCCGGTTGGAGGAGGCGGGAGCCGGGGAGAGAAGGGGGCGAGGCCAAAGATACCGGCGAGCGCCGTAGGGGCGTGGCCAGGGTGAAGTGGGCTGAGACGTGGCCACAGCAGGGCGTGGCCAGGGGAGGGGCGGGGAGGGTCGCAGGCTGCCGGTCCTTAGTTCTCCAGGCTGGAGGATAAAGGCAGTGGACAGCGACCCAGCCCTGGATGTGGGCCCGGACTTAGCCAGACCCAGTGATCGCTAAGACTCATCTCTCAGAGAGGGTCAACCTGCTCAATTTTGAAGGATTAACCACCCTTCAACTCAGCCAACTCATACGATTCAGTGTTTCTTGGTGGGTCTGTGGCCACCAGATTCCATCTGCGTGGAATTATTTAAATCTCCCTCACCCAGAGAACAATTGGCAGCGGTGCGTGCACCACGGGAGTCACATACTTTCAGTTAGGAAAGACCCTTAGGGATCCTTTTATGACAAACCAATCTTTAAACTGGGATTTTTCTTTAGTTGGAAAATAATATTGTGTACCTCTCTCCTTTTAAAACTTATTGTTCTAAATAGCAAAGTGTAAAAAGCTCTGCAAAATCAGCATCCAATCACCATTTGCAGGAGTCCTACCTATCTTTGACTCTATTTCACGTCCTAACATTGGGGTCCCTTGACCACTAGGTATTATTCTTTGCTTAACAGTGAAGACTTATTGTATTTTTTAAATGGTTTTGTTTTTCCACTTTGAATGTGACTATTCAGTTGTTGAGAAATGAGTTGGGACGAGGACCTTAGGGCCAATGCGTTCTGTCGGCTCTGCTTTTAAAATATATATATCCCCAACTGAATCACTTCTTGTTACTTCTACCGCTCACATCCTGATCCCAGCCCTCCTTTCTCACCCAGGCTGCTGCAACTAATCACTCAGCTTCCACTCTTCTCTTCCTTTAGTATACATATTCTCCAGAGTAGGCACAGGAATCCTTTAGAACAAAAGTTAGATCTCTTCACTCCCCTGCTCAAAACCCTCCAAAAGTTTTCCCCTCTCACACAAAATAAAAACCAGTCTTGGTGATGACCTGCAAGGCCATGTCTCACCTCCTATGCCTCATCTCAGTCCCGCCTCTGCTCTCATCTCATTGTCCTCCTTGCTGAGTCTCACGAACATCAAGTAGCTCTGGCCTCAGGATCTTTGCACTTTCTATCCTTTCTGCCTTGCAAGGCTCTCTCCCCCATTTAACTGCCTGACTCCTTCTCCCACTATTTTCAGAGAAGACTTTCCTAACCACTTCATCTCTCAGAGCACCCTGCTCTCTGCCCGTAATCTCTAAACCCTTACTTTGCTCCATTTCTCTGCATAGTATTTTTATACCAGCAGCCATCATATCACATAGCATTTTGTTTATTGTTCTGCCTCCACTTTAGAATATGTCCATGTGGACAGAGGCCTTGCTTTGTTGGTTGCTCTGTCCTAATGCAAGTCCATGTGGATAGAGGCCTTGCTTTGTTGCTCTGTCCTAATGCAAGAAAAAGTGCCTGGCCCAGTGCAGGAGTTCCATAAATGTTTGGTGGATGAAAGAATCTCAGGGTGCAGACGTTAAGATAAAAATTAGAAGTGGTATCTATACAGAGTGTTTAGAAATACTCTTCAAATTATCCAGTATGTCCTATCTCTGATCGTGAATCAGTTTCCATTGTGAAATCATGACTGACATAATAAAAAAGGCAAAATAAAATTTTAACCCTACTCAGTCCTTTTACAATAGAATGTGCATCCATGGAAGTGAGAAGCTTAGAAAGAGGAGAGAAACAAGGCCAAGGTCCAAGGAGGGAGAGGAGGAGGATCACAAGGCTGAGAGGATCCTCCTTGCTGATTCGCACACATCAAGTAGCTCTGGCCTCAGAGTCTTTGCACTTTCTTTCCTTTCTGCTTTGAAGGCACGGGAAAGAGCAGGTAAGAGGCAGTGAGCCCTTGGACTCTCCTGGATATGAGCGCCCCAACTGGATAAGAAGCTCCTTAAGACCAAGCAGGGACCCCCCCCCAGCACTGATTCATCCTTTCATCTTCAGCCACTTAAAGTATCTACTCCGTGTTCCCTAAGTGTCCAGTGGATGGACTGGAGGATGGGAAATATCAGAGGTAGGTTCCTGGCCATCCTGCACATTCACAGCTCAGGGCGGAAAGTGGACCTGCCTGGGGCAACAGGGAGTGTCCACCTCCACCATGTCTAGACCCTAATACAGGAAGAGATGTGGGGGCTCTACTCCCAGGAACACACATCCGTGGCAGGCACTGGATCTGGCGATTGACACAGGCTGCCTCGCTGAGCCTTGCACAAGGACCACACCCGGGTATGAGCACTCTGGGAGTTCAGGATCCAGGAGTTAAAGACTTGCCTAAACCCAGGAGAGCAATATGTTGGTGGTACGGTAGCACGGTCTCAGCTCTTCTGATTCTGATGCCCGGGGGCTTCCACTGAAAATTATTATGCCCTGGCCTTCTGTGAGTCAAGAAGGTCTGATGGAGTCCTAGAGAGGCTTAGACCCATGCTGTGCTTGTCCTCTTCTACGACCCCAGGACAGAGGGAGTCAGGGTGGAAACCACAGGAAGCAACCACTGGTATAACTTCTGAGGGGGCTCTGAGTTCCTAGAAAACAAGAACTGGCCCGTCCGGAACTGGCCACAGAGCTGAGCAGTGCCTTTGTGAAGGGCTTCCCAATGTGGAGGGAGGAAGAAGAGACAGGCAGCTGATCAGTGACTCAAGGGGGAAGTAGCTGGGAAGAGGGGAGGAGTATAACTAGATAAATTACATAGGGTTGTGATGTTCATCTTACCAGCATCCAGTGCCCGTGAGGCACTCCCACCCATGTCAAGGCCTGCCAGCCTTCCCTTGTCCCTTTACCCTACTTAGGGCTCATGTTGCCTTCCTTATTCCCCTTGCTCCTCTCAAGTGACCCTTTAATGTGCCTTTATACCATGTGAAGATGTTGGCGGCAGAGATAAGTACTTAGACTCCGAAACTATCAGAGCAGCTCTGGCTCAGAATGTCCCGAGGGTGTTTCGGCCCCCATTCTTTGGTATGAGCTTGGGCCCAAAGCCAAGGGACTGATCCCTGGTGTCTATCACTTCTACCACCTTCCAAGCTCCAACCGCTGCCCTGGCATACACCTAGCAGCCAGACTGTAAAGTTCCCTTGAAATAAACGTGAAAGCGGCCCTTGCTTTTTCTTCTTCCAAAGGTATGTGTACAGACTGGGTAATCCATCCTGGCCCTTGAATACACAGCCAGGAGCAGAAAGCAGCTTTGAAGGGGATATTTGTGAGAGGTCAAATGGATGTCACTGAGATCTGGGCCTCCGTCCATAGACCCTTCCCCTCCTTCTTCTTACCCAGGTCCACCTGGAGCTATATTGTACCCTGGCCCATGGAAACCTCTGGCCTAAAGAGAGGAGGGAAAAGGTGCAGCTTGCCTCCTCCTGTCTTCACCCTCTCCACCTTACCAAAGCGCCCTGAAACACTTTTACATGTTTAAGTACTGAATTAATATATTCTTGTGGTTTAAAAAACTTTAAATAATACTGGTGTGTTAAAATAAATAGGAAACATTTCCAATACCTTTCCTTCTCCCTACAAAATCTCACTTAACAGGACTGTTGAAAATCCAAAATTTGGTGTCTCCTTCCATTGTATGTATGCACTTGCGTGTGTGTGTGTGTGTGTGTGTGTGTAGTATTTACAGAATTCTAATACACATAGTTCTGCTAAAAATATGTATGTCAAACCTCCTTACATGTCAGGAGACACAGGGAGGATGCACAGAGCTATGTCTTCCTAATAATTGCATAATACTCCATCTGAATTATTCAGGTCCACTCTTGCCTCAGAACTAAAGAGACTCAGCTTTGCTCAGTTTCTCAGATGATACAGGAATACACTCACAGCCCCAACGGTACAGAACTGGGAAATCAGAGCTCTGTAACTGCACTAAGATTTGTATGAATGAATGTCTTATTATTAAGTAACTGGTATTCTTCATATATGTCTTTATACTCCTGTGATACAGAATTTATTGCCTGCAGTATATTGCACTGGATTTTTGTTCTCATTTTTTCTCATTCCTAGTTATTTTAATATAATTAGTCATGTGGAACATACAAGAGCTTATACAGTTGGTTTGTTTCTAGCATTTTTATATATTTTAGAAAGTATCTGGCATCATAGAAAATTTGTTGTTTTAAATATTAAGAGTGTGGCTGGGCATAATTCCTATTTACTTGTCTTAAATTTGGCTAGTTACTTTGACTTAGACTAATTTTTCATGAGGCAGAATAGGTGTGGTGAATTGAGGATAATCATAAATTCTTTGCCACTTAGCCTATGAAAAGGTAGACGCAATGTCCTCTGCCCCTTTAATCTGGGCTGGCCCTGTGAACTGATTTGACAAATAAAATATGATAGAAGTAATTTTTGTTGTTGTTGTTGTTTCTCAGTTCCATTTTAATTCCATCTGTGACCATGCCCCATTTTTCTTTTTTTTTTCCTTTTAAACATTTTTTTATTGAGTTATAGTCATTTTACAATGTTGTGTCAAATTCCAGTGCAGAGCACAATTCTTCAGTTATTGAACACACAAAACTATGATAGAAGTAATTTATAATTTATGAGGCAAGGCCTTAAAGACCTGAAGAGTCTGCTCTTGCTACATGGAATGTTCCCTACTGGGACTGAGCCACCATATAAGAAAGAAGTCTAACTACCCTGAGACCACCAGTGAGGACCATGCTGTGAGGAAGCTCCAGCCAGCCACATGGACAAAAAGA